GACGTCCTGGTCAGGAACCCAGAGGGGCATCATCCCTAGGACATTACAAGGCCTGGTGGTTGAGGAGATACCAAGAGCTTTTCACCTCCAGAGTAGCAGCTGAGCCCTTGTTGAGGAGAGGGGCCAGACCCGCCTGTGTTGGACCTGCTGTGACAGTGTACCCCATAAGGATTTATGGGGAGGGGGTGCTTATAAATATATGTATGGCATAACTGGAATATGTTTTGTGCTGCCTGTGCCATGTCATATATCTCCGTAAAGGTTCTGGTCTACTATATCTATTCATCCTCTTTGTACACATATATCATTTTCTACTTGAGGGTAAGAATATGGGCTGTATGCTGGCTTGGTTTCTAAGTAAGCTTTGGAAGGCATTTGGTCAGTTTCTTTAGGAAGGAATTCGCCAGTTTAAGTACCTGATCAGGAAACACTCCAATGCTCCAATCCACATAAAAAGTCTTCCTGGAGACATACAAGCTACCATGTGGACAATGGCTTCGGCCTGTAAAGACTGACTCATGCAGGGACATGTGATTTGCCCAGGTGATTCCAGAACTCCATCTTGGAGCTGGACTTTGCATAGGAGGGAGGAGGGGGGGTCTCCACCCACAAGAGAGAGTCTATTTAAACCCGTGGGAGACTCCTCCATTTTTGTCTTCAGCTGGCTAAGGAAGGAACCTCTCCACCCCCTCAGGATACTTGAAGGGAACTGGAATAAAAGACAGTAACTACAGGGGGTGCGAGTGATTGCTGGACCCAGGCTAAAAGGAGATTAGCCTGTAAAAGGGAACATTCTGGAACTGGTGAGGAACTTATCTGTATTTAGTTTGATTAGACATAGATTTGTGCATTTTATTTTATTTTACTTGGTGACTTTGTTCTGTCTGTTACTACTTGGAACCACTTAAATCCTACTTTGTTTTTAATAAAATCACTTTTTATTTAGTAATTAACTCAGAGTATGTATTAATACCTGGGGGAGCAAACAACTGTGCAGATCTCTCTATCAGTGTTATAGAGGACGAACAATTTGAGTTTGCCCTGCATAAGCTTTATACAGGGTAAAACAGATTCATTTGGGTTTAGACCCCATTGGGAGTTGGGCATCTGAGTGCTAAACACAAGCACACTTCTGTGAGCTGTTTTCAGGTAAACTTGCAGCTTTGGGGCAAGTGATTCAGACCCTGGGTCTGTGTTGGAGCAGACGGGAGTGTCTGGCTCAGCAAGACAAGGTGCTGGAGTCCTGAGCTGGCAGGGAAAACAGGAGCAGAGGTAGTCTTTGCCAGGGCTGGCTCTAGGATTTTTGCCACCCCAAGCAAAAACAATTTTGGCCACCCCCCTCCCGCCCCGTCCGCGGATACAAAAAGTCTCCCCCTCCCTCCCAGGCTCTCAAACCTGGGAGAGAGGGTGAGCAGCGGCACACGAATCAGCTGTTTCGTGCACTGTGGCGGTGAGCTAGGGCGGCTGGGACACATTATTAGGGGCGGCAGGGACGGCATTCTGGCGCCTAAAAATGTGCCGCCCCAAGCACCAGCTTGTTTTGCTGGTGCCTAGAGCCGGCCCTGGTCTTTGCACATCAAGTGGCAGCTCCCAAGGGGGTTTCTGTGATCCAACCGGTCACACCTGCACCCCAAGACCACCTACCTCTTCTGTAGCTCATTTCCTCAGAGGGTCTCAATGTCCTTTACAAAGGAGGCCATTATCAGCGTCTCCATGTTACATAAGGTTCCTGGGAAGCAAGTGGCAAGTTTTGGAATTGAAGGGCTGGGAAGCGCAGTCCCTGGGGATTGTTAGAGAGTGTTGGCAGCTTCTCCACACCCAAGTCGGGTGACATGGAGCTGAGCTGCATCCACACTACAAAGCGTTTGGGCTCTGACTTGCATCACAGTGGGACTTCGGCTCTGACCCCATCCCCTCGCAGGCTCTGCAGGCCTGAGTCAAACTAACTTCCGTGTGGACAGAAGTGGGGCTTGGTCTTAAGCCTGAGTCAGAGCTGCGGCTTAGTATGCTGTGTAGACATACCACTGGGGTCTACCCTCCAGCAGGGCCGGATTTCCAAAGAGGCATAGTAGGCACATGTCTAGGGGCACCGGGCGTTCTAGGGTGCCTTACCTCTCTAATACTATGTACAACATGCAGGTCAGCTGTGGGCGGTGGGTGTGCGTGTGCTGAAGATGCTGTGCCTAGGG